TTTTTACATTTCAATGATTTACTCGAAAACTATAATACATAGATTGAATCCAAAAAATGCATATGAAAGCTGAATGTTTGGGGAATCCAGCAAGTATTGATGTATTACTGTGGTTTTATCCGTTTGGCTGTAATTCGTGTTCAAAATTTAAAAAATGCTCGAAAAAGCAGTGTTTTTACATTTTATTGATTTTCTCGAAAACTATAATACATAGATTGAATCCAAAAGATGCATATGAAAGCTGAATGTAGCAGTATAGATACATTCCTGTGCTCATATCCATATTGCTGTAATGCGCGTTCCTTTTATGAAAGGGACGGAGGCGTAGTAACTTCAAGTTTGGAAACCACTGCATTAATGAGATAGTAAACTACAGTTAAAGTAATTTATTTCAATTGCATCTGCCTGAGGACGGTGAAGGACGAGAAGGCTTTCTTCATGAACTGTAATCATTTATTTAATGTAATTAATTATTACGATCAAGTTGCAATTGGTTTGATTGGTTACCTCGAGGAAAGTGTCGTTTGCCAATGGTAGGATCTTTCCGGCGACGATCCTCACCGGTCTTTTCATGCGCATCAAGACTATGTGGTAGTTCTGCAGGAAACTCTTGTTGTTCACGACGTACCAAGGGACGGTGTACAGGGCGAGTCTCATCTCTTCGACGCTGGTGGAGAGCTGCTGCCCGAAATAGCAAAGCAAATAGATTTGCAGAACGCTGCCCAGACAGTACTGGCTTAGTCCCAAGTACAAACTGGTGTCGGATGTCTGAAGAAGAAAAAAAACGATCGAGGAGTTGTTTAAGCGATTTGAGTTAATTTACGGCGACGAAGACGTAGAGCGTGAAGATCATGTAGATGTAATTGAAGTACACTTCGATGACGAGGTTGGGCGAGACGAATCTCTGGTAAGCGGTGAAGAGATTCAACAGCTTCTGATGTTGTTCGATGCAACCGTTGAAGTTCTGCCGGAGACGACGTTGGAATTTGCTAGAGCGAACGATTGCATCGACGTTCATATCTAAATCTTCGAGCTGCTTCTGTGAGCAGCCGCAAGCGCGAAAAGCGTCTTCGACGGTGCTCGCAAAGTCTGCGGCCAGGATGCGAAACTGCTCGGCCGAGAGAACCATGAAGCACATGCTCAGCAGATCCAGATTGGAGAACGAGATGACCATGTTCAGCTGCGACATGGTCTGCAGGAAAATTGTTATCTGGTACGCTGGAGTCGTCTTCCAATCGTAGAACGTCCACACGGGTAGCACCATCTCCCTGCACAACATTACTTAAAAACTATACTTATCATTATTCATTGCGCTATTTATTTAAACCTTTCAGGATTCAGAACGACGGCTACGGCCATCATAAGCCCGGCGAAGATCACGAAGGCCGTCCACACCGTGAAGAACCTCTCGCACCATCTGTACGTGGCCTCCATGGTTACGGGTCGATTGGCCAGTTTGGTGCCGGGCTGAAACTCTTCTCGAATCTTTTGGATCAGCTTCTCGGCGGTGTCCAAGTTCAAGATGAAATGCATCGTTCTGATCGAGATGCTCGCAAAAAGACCTGCAAAAGAAGCAAAAAAATCCAGTCTTGCACTCAGTTTAAATATCTAAATTAATAAACCTAAGTGCATAAAGCTGATGCTTATGTACGTCATATCCTGTTTGCTCTCGTTCAGCGCGATCTCCAAGATCAGGTAGAAAACCGTGCTCAGCAGCGAATAGTACCAGATCGTACGCCAACAATAGTACAAGAGAGTTTGCAACCAATTCCATCGGGCATCAGTTTTGTACATCGACATTAACTTCAAAATAACCACGTTCTTCTTCAGATACTCGTACTGCATCTTCGATGTCCGAAAAGACTTCACTCCTCCACGATTCGTTCACATTTTATACTGACCCAACGTCGCCAATTAAAGGTAATTACAAGAAAGTTTGCGCGATCAACTACCATCTATCGTCCCACATTTCAATTATTCATCCCGAACAAATTTGTCACCTCAATTACACGACCAATTAAACTCTAAACTGTTCGTCCAGTGCAATTATCAGAATTTGATCGTCCAACCAAAGAAAATCAAATATTCATTCCCCGTACTTACACAAACATTTAACAAACAGTTCACCTATATTATAAATGCTCAAATTAACAAAGCAATAAAATCCAATTATCTAATAAATGATATATAATTCAATGTAGTTGTTAATAAAAAAAAAATCTTAATTAACTAATAACAATCAATGTAAAGTCAAATTATAGATATCTTAAGAATAAATTGCGTCCAAAAGATTACAAGATATACAAGCAATTTGAATGTTTGCAGTTTATGAAGTAAAACTAATTCAAACTTTTAAATTTCTCAAAGAAAATAACAGTTTACCAACCTGATTCGATCATTCATTCTTAGCTTTTCCTAAGAATTTTCTTTAAATTAAATGATGGCATTTCCTATTTCAAGTTTAACAATCAGATTTTTGTATGAAAATCATTGAAAATTAATTGTTTCATGAATTGCAAATTCTTATTATTTGCAATTGGTAGACTTGATTAAAGTGAATTCATTATGTTATTAGTGCATTTGTTTTATTTGTATAATAATTGGAATTATATAAATTAATAAAAAAAAAATCTTAATTAACGAATAACAATCAATGTAAAGTCAAATTATAGATATCTTAAGAATAAACTGCGTCCAAAAGAATACAAGATATTAACCGTTAATTGCAATTTGAATGTTTGCAGTTTATGAAGTAAAACTAATTCAAACTTTTAAATTTCTCAAAGAAAATAACAGTTTACCAACCTGATTCGATCATTCATTCTTAGCTTTTCCTAAGAATTTTCTTTAAATTAAATGATGGCATTTCGTATTTAAACCTTAACAATTAGATTTTTGTATGAAAATCATTGAAAATTATTGCTTCGTGAATTGCAAATTCTTATTATTTGCAGTTGGTAGTCTTGATTAAAGTGAATCATTATGTTATTAGTGCATTTGTTTTATTTGTATAATAATTGGAATTATATAAATTTCTAATATAATTCAAGATAAAAGCGTCGGTTTGTTGCATTGGTCTTGATTTGGTAAGCGGTTTTAGTCGTTTTGTATAATTTGTTTGTAAAGTTTTTAGGTTAAAGGATCATTGTTGATGATGGAAATTTCAAATTTTTTTGCGTTACCATGAGCAAAGCCTTCTGAGTTATATCATCGTTGTGCAAGTAAAATGTTAGCTGTATGTAAATAGAGGATATTTTGAAGATGAAGAATTATCAAGTTTGTTTCGCTGAAGACATCTTCCTGACAAATTGGTGAGTAATAATTGCTGAATTATTTATATTTATCTATTGTATCATAATTGTAAATAAGGTCATCCAAAATGAGAGCATAGTTTATTTTTATCATCAATCTCTGATCACCGAATGTATGCTGGAACTAGATAAGATAAGATACTCTTGTATTGATTTTGGATGATGTTTAGTTTAGTTTATTTGCACAATGTGAGCTCAGCTTAACTAACAGTGGATTAACTAACCGACACTCATTGCTTGTTATTATTACCAAATGTTGCAGGTCAACAATACCCCATTGGGATCACGCACATGATGCCCTGGAAACGCTCTCGGTCATCCTGCCATCGTTCCTGCTCACATACATCTCTGTCAATGTGTCATCTGCTCTGTTCTCGAGGAAGGATTACGTGAAGAGATTTGTGCTGGATTTGTTTGCAATCACTCTGCCGGTGATCTTAATGACAACAGTGCTGTTCCCTTACGTGGATAAAGTCAGTCTGGGATTGGCCCTGCTCAGTGTGGGGCTGTGCTTTGGTACGAGGGGCATGATCAATGCCTTTCGAGAGGTTGTGAAGGATGATGGGTCGGATTTGGGGAGGAAGAGTTTCGTGACGAACGCGAGATCTACGATAAACGTGCTGACCGCCGTCGCCATACTTGGAATTGATTTCAAGCTGTTTCCGAATCAGTTCCACAAGACGAAAAAGTATGGAATCAGCTTGATGGATGTGGGTGTCGGACTGTACGTGTACGCGAACGGGATCGTCGCGCCGGAGATTCGCGGTCACAAGGGGACTTTGCTGAAGACGATCTTGAACGTGTTACCTTTGCTGGTGATTGGGGTGCTGAGGTTCGTGATCACGCACGAGATTGATTACCATGTGAGCGTTACCGAGTACGGGGTGCATTGGAACTTCTTCATCACGCTGGCGGTGACAAAGCTAGTAAGTGCGCTGATCATGTTACCTATTAGGAATAGTTTCACGAGTTGCGCGATTTTGGGATTCGCGGTGCTGGGGCTCCACCAGGCCGGTCTCTACTGGGTTTTAGAGGATTGGGTTTTCAGTGGAGCGGCGCGCAGTAATTTTCTGGAAGCGAACCGGGAAGGTGTGGTGTCTTCGATAGGATACGTCGGGTTGTACTTTCTTTCGGTCGCGTTCGGGTTCGTCCTGCACGGCAGGAATAAACAGAAGACTAGGCTTTTGGGTGAGCTGTTTAGTTGCGTTTTATTCGTGGCGGTCTGCACTGTTTTGTTACACTCTTGGTTCAACATTTCGCGGTGCCTGGCGAACAGCACCTACTGCCTCTGGGTCCTCTTCATCGGCGTCCTCATGACGACCCTCTACTACTTCCTCGAGAACTTCTTACGTTTCTTCTACACCAACGTCGAGAACGTCATCCACGTGCCGTTCATCTTCGACGCCATCAACTACAACGGCCTCACGTTCTTCCTCGTCGCCAACCTCCTCACCGGATTCGTCAACATCGTATTCAAAACCAAGAGCATCACCGACCCCTACAGCTTGTTAATACTGACTATTTATATGACGGTGACGAATTTCGTCGTCTGTCTGTTACACGTTAAAAAAATAAAACTAAAATTATAAAGAGTATAAAGTTATCACAAGTTAATAAGAGATTCGAGATTTGTTAATGGCACACTTCAGAGTTCGTCTCTTAAGTCGAAATCGTACGATTCGTCGTACTCTATCGGTTCCGCGCTGCCGACGCTGCTGTACTCCACGCCCTCCAAACTCTCCACGAATCCGGGATGCTTCTTCACGTAATCTGCAGCTTTGGCGACCAATCGCGCGAACTCGTCCACGTCGAACGAGTAATTGGTGAATTTCGCGTGCGCCCCGCCCTCCGGGTGCGTCCCTTCGTCCTCGGCGAACAACTTCGAGTCGTCCTCCCAGGTCACGTACTTCAAGCCGCGCAATCTCGTCAGATCCATGTAACAATTGGCATCCTCACAATTGTACCTGCAATTTCGTAAACAACATTATTATATATATATAGAATGTTTGCTTTCATTTCAATCTAGATTCATCAAAGCACGAAATTATAAAAAAAAAAATAATTCAGATCATTTTTTATAATTATTTTTCCTTCCATGTCCCGATTTAGATGATTCTAGATTGTCTGAATCTCAATATGTATATATTACAATTCGAAAACTGCGGCCCAATCGGGTAAGAAGAGGGCGTGCGTTAGTCCCGCCCCATGGATACCAATGAGGACATCCGAATTTTTGATCACTTCCAGCTGCTTCTTGAAGCTGATCTCCTTGTTGAACACGACCCTCTCCACCGAATACTCTTCATTCCTCTCTAACGCCTCCACCAATTCCGCTTCGTTCAATATTTTCCTATACTTCGTGTCTCTGGACAGCAGCGTGATCTTGACTTTAGCGTCGGTTCGCTTAACCTGCGGAATTCTTAATCTGTGCAGCACGTGCTTCGAGAACGCGTTAAACAGACCGCTGTTCTGACACCCGTAAATGATGGGCGTGTTGTAGTACAACCCGAAGATCATACGTGGCAGTAACGGAAATATGATGTTCTTGAAGCACACCGTTCTTCCGCGGAAAGTCTTCAGATCCCAAATGGGGTTCTCGGTGAAAGCCTCGAAGGTTGCCTCGAACGCTGATTGATAGTTGAACGTCTCCCAGACGAGTATGTGGATGTCCGTGGAGAAGGCACCGGCTTCTGTCGCGTTCAAGTGCTGCGACGCGTACAGATTGAAGAAGTCACAGAAATGATGGTACATGTTGACTACTGGAACGAAACGGAATGGAGCGTGCAGCCGGAGTCTGGATGCAAAGAACTACTCACTTGCGTCGATCTTCATGATGAACGTCGGTTTCTCAATTACCACGTCGCAGCTGCCTTCCACTATGGGCCTCTCGTTCAATCTCGTGAAGAACCGCATCTCTGGCGCCCAACTTTGCAGAGGGCTCATATGATCCAAATTCTCGTTCAAACGTTCCTGATACAAATCGCAGTAACCACCTACAAGAAAACATCTCTTCAATAAAAGAACAAAAATGAACGGAGTGAGATTACCAATTTCGCCCATCTTCAGCACGTCCATTTTATAACGCAAAGGTTCGTCGCGCTGCGCCAACGCCGTGAAGTTCATCATCAAATTTCTTCCTCTGCAGAACCTCAGATGCTCAGAGCATTCCAGAGAGCTGTCATCGGGAAACATTGGCTCACACAGAACCATCATCTCCTTCATCTGCTGCTTCACGTACCCGAAATCAGCCTGCGTGTCGAACGTCCTCCCCTGATCCGCCTTCGTCTTGACCCAACCCCTATGGTCCCCCGGACACTCTGGTCTCAAGTACTTCCTCTCCTCTTCACACTTATCCTCGTAGCCCCAACATTTTGTCTCCTCAACGTAATCCTTGTAAGGACAATCCTCATCCTCGAGACACTCATCTCTCAGGGCTTCGTTGTTCGAGAAGAACGCGCTCAGATGTTCAGACGGAAGATTGATGGAGGCGTAATCGGCGCCGGACGCAGCGACCAAACACAACACGAAAAGAGATTCGAACATCGTGTTTACAATAATCTAAACTAAAAGCGCTACAAGTTTTACGGATCACATCTAAGAGTTTCCTGCAGGAATACCGAGCGTTCACTTCATATGTTCCATGTTTAAGGTTAAGGAAAACACCGTAAACGGTTTCGAATACATTAGCGATGAATGAATGAATAGATGATGAGGCGAAGAAGTGAATGGATCCGCTTGACCTTTTTCCGAATACTTTTTATAAATAATTATTACATAATAACGGAGGATTGCGTAACTAGAGGCATCATCGATTCGTGAAGAAACATCATTTCTTTTTGGTGTTTCAAATTGCCTTGGACACGCTACCAATAGATAGCATAATTCATCATTATCTTTGGTACCAGCTCACGAAGCGCATCGAATTTCGATCAAACTTTGTCCATAAAAGCTTCGTTGCCGCTTCCAAAATATCCTTATACGCAAACAGATGATTCATTTACGAAAAGTATGCTAATTCAAACAGAATATGTATATTATTATTATTACTCATCCGCTCTTTACGCAATCCACCTGTTATATAAACGGGGAAAGTATGCAACCAAACTTTCATCAAAGACCATTGTTTTCAAATTTGGTTTAAAATGGCAACCATTTACATTTTCTCTTAATTATAATTAAACGACGATGCTCATTAATTAATTACATATAATAAATAATTCATTTTTCTGGTACAAGTTATGCAACACAATGTTCATTGATAATACTATATGTTAAATTAAACTTAATCTAAACTGTATATAGTTTAGGTAAACTGTATAATAAACTTATTGTACTTAAGACTAGCAGTGGGAATCTAAAAGGGATGCAAAGTTTGTGAAATAGAACTGGCAACGTTGTTTGTTAGTTTCTCCCCCCACCACCAATATTTACACATCTGATATTTCCTGAAAAAACAAAAGGTGTATTTCAGGGGGTGGTAAACTAACTGAAACTAACTTTCACTCACTGTGGTTCCGTTGTGAGATGGTTGATAATAAAGTAGAGATGAGCGACGACGGTGAAAACTTCGTGACCGCCACCACGAACGATCCGAAGAACGTTCAAGAGCTAACCCAATATGTGAGTAGATGCTACAGATTCACGTTTATTTTTTTTTACTAATTGGGTGGTGTTTCAGGTGCAGACTCTGCTGCAAACAATACAGGAGAAGTTCCAGAACATGTCGGATCAGATATTGAATAGGATCGATGAGATGGGCACACGCATAGATGATCTGGAGAAGAACATCGGAGACCTGATGACTCAGGCCGGAGTTGAGGGTGCAGAGAAGTGAGAACAGAACACACTTAACATATTCACATCCAAAAAATTTATGTTCGCAAGTGAACATACAATGTAAGCCACCTTAGACATATTTATAATTTATATTTGTACATTTTATGTTGTTTATTAAAAAAAAAAAAAACGAAACAAACTGTAATGATAAAGACTATTTCGTGTATTGCTTGGCGATGAACGGATCCTCGTCCTCTTCGCTCTCCACTGAATCGCTTTCCGAATCCTCCCTGTTCACCTCATTCTCGCTCCTTGACAAATGCCTTTTCGATGCTAGACTTTGTTGACCTGAAGCAGGTTAAGATTTAGTGGAAATCGGAACAGTTTTCGATGCATTACCATTAATACCAGCGGATTTCTTTCTAGGCGTTGAGAAGATCGAGCTGAGAGAACCCAAAGAGCGGTTGCGGTGGCTCTTTTTGCCGGAATGCGGGATCGTGTCAGGTAAACGCAAAGACTTCTTGAACTCCTAAAAAACCAACGCAAAAGCAATTAACGTAACGCTCCACCCATTGTTATTTCCGTGAACCAATCAGAGTTTACCGATTCCATTTCTCCGGTTATTTTAAGAAAGTCCTGATAATAACAACAAATCAAGTTAACAATCAATCAGTCTGCGACGCCCACTTAATGTGTGTACGTGTACGTTCATTGGATGAATTCTATAGAACAACTACCTCTAGATCAGATTGCTCGTCGATCCTATAGATCTCGTTGTAGGCTTCGGTGAGCAGTTCTAAGACTTTCGCGTGGTACCCGAGCTCGGTGGAAACGAAATCCAACAGGATTGCCTTGACGTCGTGCAATTTTTGCCGCTCGAACGTTGTGATTTCCTCCTCCAAACCGTGCATGGTCTTGATGACTTCCGAAGTCGCTTGCACTAGCTCAGTTTCCGCTTGCACCTGACAAACAAGGCTTAAGATTTTCAGTTTATTAAGATCTTAAACTTACGATCTGTTGTCGATTCCTCGGGTTCTTATCGCGCACCTTATCCAGCGCCTTCTTTCGCGCCACCTCCTTGTCCCTCACCACGAAGATCTGTTTGACCTCATCCTTGGCATTCTTGCAGATGCCCTCGTACTGCGCCAGCTCCGCCACGATCTTCGTTTCTATGTTCTGGACGCGCTTATCGCCGTATCCTCCTGCTGCGCTCAGAATATCCGAAAACTTGGACAACCCTTGACTCAGACTCTTGTTGATGTCTTCGGATTCGGAGTACGCTAGAACCGCGTTGGCCAGTTCGTCGTTTTTATCGCGGAGACGGGCGGCCTTTCGCGAATACGCGCCGAACCCTTGGCTGAGACAAGCGACATTCCTTTCCACTGAGGCAATCCTGTCTTGAATGAATTTCGCCTCCTGCTCGCTAACAAACAAACAAAAACAAGAACTACAACATAAATAATATATGGAGAAGCGCGCTTCTTGTTGCGTGCTGCTAACATTATCAATAACTAAATCGGGTCAGAGGATATCGAGTGGCCTTTGCACGCAATAAACAACAATTGCAGAGGAAAAAAGGTGAAGCGAAATCCGCGACGCGATGGAATTCGCATTTTCGCGCACAAGTTATCGTTTTCAATTAACAGACTGGCTTCTATTGCCGTTCAATTAGAGAGCGCGCGCTTCGCGTAATAGAAATAACTCACCTGTTAATGTTCTTCATGCGGTTCAACATTTTTCGAAATGTCAACGTGCTGCTGTTGCTACGATACAAACAAAAATAGCAGCTGCCTCTGACGCGAATCGATTGTTTACATAACTAGGCGACGAGGGTGCATTCTTCTGTTTCACACAGTTTACGCCCACTCTGCATTGCCCGATGATACTTTTGTTATTGTTGTTGTTTCATAATTTTAATAAAAAAAAAAAGACATTTATATATATTCTTACATGCAAAATAAATAAAAAAAATCGTTTACTTTACATAAATTATAATTACATAATCCAAACTTTACAAAATTCTGAATGATTTAATTAATATATATATTTTTGCTATTTCATTATCTAATCTACAGGTGGATTCAATTCAATCAATCAATTCGAAATTCATAACATTTTTTATATAATTTAATTTGACCTAATTAACATTTCTTTCTTTTTTTTCTTCGACTATTACATTTAATTTAGTGTTATGAACATATTGTTATTATACAGAATTTACAAAATCAATTTGAAGTAAATTATGAGTGCACAATAAAAACGAAACTTTGTCTTTCGTTATATATCTCTACTTGTAAACTTTTCTAAACCATTATTATAATTATATTAAAAATTTGTAGTTTGTTATGCAGATCGGAAAAACGATTAGATGATTATAATAGTAGTAAGGCTGAAAAAACAGGTGTCTTGTAAAGTGGATGTGTGTGTGTCTGGGTTTAAGAACGATGGGAAATTGGGTCAAAGATTGCGTTGCTTTTGCGGTGGTCGCCTCGTAGAAATTGATTGCTCGCTTGTTTTGTTTGTTGTTTTTACCTTATCTTTATTTTACGTCCTGTATATAGATAGATGTATTTTTATAATTCGTATGCCAATTGTATTTATGTATATATACATATAAGAATTGCTAGAAACACCCGCTCGTATATATATATATAGAAATATTTATGTATGTACATGCATCACATTAAGTAATAATTCACCCCCGCACTCGCGCGTTTTTCGATTGTCTTTTTTTCTATGTGTACGTGTGTGTGTGTGTTTGTAAGATGATGTTGGTGTTTGCTTGCTGTTGAATCGTACGTTGTTGTTGTTATCTAATTGGAGATGTATTTTCATGTGTTTTGTGTCCATCCATCATTAATCTTTGCTTGTGCTTCTTGCTCGTCCTTATGTCTTTCCCAGCCTCCTTCTTTTCCTTTCTTGCTGTTACAGTTATTGCAATTTGCCAGAATTGTGTGTGTTTATATATGTGTGTGTTCGAATCGAATAACATATGTACATGTATCATATTTTATTATAAAAATACAGAATACACTAATTAAATCATTATAAAAATACTTAATAATATGAACATGAAAATATCGTAATTAAGATAATAAAGTAGATGAATAGAATGTTTTCGTTATTCGACGATCGCGAACGAATGACCTATACATGCGAAGGCGAGCTTGACCTTTTTATTGGCTAGGATTTGTTTGGGCTTGAAGACGTTGTCGGTGTCGTCGGTGCCGCAGTTACCGTGCTCGTTCCAGCCCCAAGTGAAGAGCTTACCGTCCTTGCTGACGGCGAGATTGTGCTCGGAGCCGCAGCTCAGCTGCACCACGTCACGGAACGCCGGTATCTTCTCCGGTTTATGGGAGACGGCATGCTGAGCGCCGAGCTGACCGTACGAGTTGCGACCCCAGGTGTACACCTCGCCGGAGCTCGTGAGGGCCGCCGTGTGCGTCCAACCAGCGGCCACCTGCTCCAACGACTCGTCGCTGAAGATCTCGGTGGGCACGAAGATGTTCGCCTTCGCCGAATCCAGTCCCAGTTGACCGTGCTTGTTCTCGCCCCAGGTCAAGACGGTGCCGTCGCTCTTCAGACAGACCGTGTGGTTCTGTCCAGCCGCTATCGACTTGACGCCCTCCAGATCGGGCACCTTCGATATACTCATGTACCCATCATCATTGTAATCGTCACCTATGCCCAGTTGGCCCTTGCTGCCGGTGCCTGCCACCAGCATCGCGTCCTCCTTCGTGATCATCGCCATGTGTCGCAGACCGCAGCTCACCCTCGTGAAGCCGGTCGCGAGCTTCTGGGAGACGTGAAGGCGCGACGGGATTCCCGTGCAGGTGATGCTCTTCGAAAGGCCGAGCTGCAGGTAGGCGTTGTTGCCCCACACGAAGAGCTTGCCGCAGGCGGTCAGCGCCGAACTAAAGTCCCATCCACACGACACGTGCACTATTTTGAATCCGGCGAGGATCTCGATCTGCTCGAACTTCAGGGTATCATCGGACAGACCCAGCTGTCCCTTCATGTTCCATCCGCAGCAGTACACATGCCCATTGTTGTCCAGCACCAAGGTGTGTCCGGCGCCCCCGGATATCTCCACAATGTTCTCCGCTCTCAGTCCAGTGCCCTCCAGGTGCACCTCCCTCGGCTCCAGCTGTGCATCTGCCTTCACACCCAATCCCAGTTGTCCGTAACTGTTTGCACCCTGCAATCAATCAAACATCCAAAAAACCAATTAAAAAAAAACAATAAATAAATAAAAAACAAACAAAAAATCAACATTGCAACTCATTTATATCAGAATGCGTCTCTTTCATCAAACTCACGCACACACAGCCATATGCAAACACACACACACACATACATGCATAAACTGTACGCGCTTGGTCGAGAATTTCAGATGCATCCGATGCAATAGTCGCGCGATGCTTCAATTAATTGTAGAACAGCGTACTCACCCATGCATATAATGGCATATTGCAGATTTGTTTCTGATAAAAGTCTGGCCTTATATCTGAAGTGAAATATGGAGCTTGCTAACACGCGTCCTTTCTTTTTCGGAAATATTGAGGTTAGGATCTTCTCAAATGTCAGCTGTTTTTCTACTTCTACCACTACAACAACACAACAATCCGCCGTTCGATTGCTTGCAACGACGCAATTCCATTAATTAAATCCCACTTCCTAAAACCAAATCCCGATTCAGATCGATTCACTTTTTATCGGATTATTATTATCTGTCTCCAATTGAATCCACGAATCGGAACAGCAACGGAACTGGACGGAATTGAAAGAGGAAAGGCAGAAGGAAGGAAAAAAAAAACTGAAAAAAAAAATACGCGCAACGAAACAAATGATACAATCGACGCAACGGTTCCGTGTAAATCAGGAATTGCACATTTATCGAACGGTGCAAATGTTTGATTACAGCAGGATCGAATTGTATCAGTTTTCCGGTTTTTTTTTTAGTTTTTTTTTCTTTCGGGGTCCACTTTCGACGGTCGTTTACTTCCAAAGACTACTGCTCGATATATTTCTTGATGTTCTTGCACTAGATTGCATCGGATCCGCGCGCGCGAGACGACGACCACGGAACACTCACTTGAAGTTAGCACCGAAATGAGTCCTCGGAAAACTCATCGCCGATTCTCCCCCTGATCGAATCGTAGGACTTTAAACCCTTCAAAACGCATCGCCCGGCTCCTCTTTTTATAGGAAAATTAGTCAGAGCTGGAAAATGCACGCGACTTGCAACCCAACTAACACAGCTAATACACGGGTTGCCTACATCAGACTCATTTAAATTCCCGTTATTCTATTGAAAGGGTTAATTGTTGTAATCTTATAACAACAGATTATTATTAAGTTCATACGTAACAAAAGTTGCAGAAAATTAATAAATACAATCATATATCATTTATATATATATTGAGTTTATTTCTTATATTATACATATCACCAATAAATTATATTTATACACATATAGTTGACTTAAATCAATGTTAATTCAGTAATTGAAACACCGATTTTGTCGAGTGTTTAGCAATTACGAAATAATTTTGAAGACGTACTAAATAATAAATGCCTCCTCATCAAGATCCGCACTTGCGAAAATGATACATAATAATTGTAATGATAATAATTAAAGCCATTCTAGACGACAACGAATTACATGAACAAATAATAAAAAAAAAACAACAACAACAACGTCGTTCATCTCTCATATTTTTCCACCTTCTTTTTGGTACTGAAGCTCTCCTCACTTAAGCTTAGAAACTAGTATAAAATCGGTTATGCATCATTGTTTTTACATCTACCGAAATTGGTAAATGTCAGGAATTCCAAAAACCCCTGAAACAAGTGCATTCGTAAAAAAATATATACTTCTCGTTGTAGATTTGGTTATATTAATTATTGTTTTTTTTTCTTTCTTCTTCTTGTTCTCTTGTGTTCGTGCGAAATGTATCTTATTGTCGTTCTTGGTTCCGATAATCGGTAAACAATTGGATGTACCTGTGCAGGAGGTTGTTGTTGTCGTCGGCGGCGCGGAAGTAGGCGTACAGCCCGAATAATACTGTCGCAGCGACGAACGCGAGGCCGTAACGGTTGCGGTAGTGCAGGAACAACCAATCGGGGATGCAGCCGTAGACACGCCTCCACACCGTCTTGTTCTTGTTGAGGCGGCTCCTGACGCGACGCTCCTCCCTCTTCTGACGCTCCGCCCTGCAAACAGAGGCGAGGTGGTGAAGAGCAAAAAACGCGTCACTGACGAGAGATTCATTTATTGGAAAGCTCACACAGACTCACACGATATTTACAAGAGTGCGAATGAGATTGCAAAATAAAACGAGTTTTTAAAGCGTGAATTATAATGCGGATTTTGTTAAATTTAATTTTTTGATCTTTTTTAGTTGCTTGCGAAGAAGCTTTTTCATGAGCAGTGGCAGTTTACGGAAAGCGATTATTAAATCATTGAATACGTACTCTCGTTTGACGCGGATCTTGACCTCCGATTCGAGCTTCTCCGGAGGATACTTAACGTACAGCTTGGAGGCACGCCTCAGCACCGCCTCGAAATCCATATCGTCGGGGATTATCGATAGCAGACAATGGATTAGGGCCATATCGCATCCTGTTTCTAGAACCTCCTCCCGTCTGTGTATCACCAATGACGCGGCGGCGTAAATTGGCATTAGGGGCGGAGACGCGAGGAAGAAGTCGTACAGTCGGACGACATCGCTGTACCGTTTCAGCGAGTGCCCGAACCACGTCAAGTACCAAGGTAAGGCGAATATCGTGCCCAGCATTGCTCTGCAAGTATTACAAATACAATTAGAACATACATTTACACACATGATTCGATCAATTTACCCATCCATAACCTTGTACAAATCCTTATCCACCTTCTGTATCAGCGGGTAAATGTACGACAACCTGTACGACGTCTTTTCCATCGTGGCCTCCATACACTCATGCAAATGATCCGTGCTGAGCCTCTCCATAATTCTAAACGAGACAGTCTCACCAACAACCAGCAAGAAAGTGATTGCCACATCATGATAACCCTTAAAAACATCACAATTGTAAAAAAATCACAATTTAACACGACTGAAACTCACCTGATAATATCTGAGATGTGGATATTTCATAATAACTCTTAGTATTAACACAGTCAATTGATCTTGCAAAGCTAACCTCTGTTTATAAGGAATGCCTATCGTGCGAGTTTTTAATTAATACGAAACCAACAACAACAACAATATTTACCTGGAGGAAATCTCTTCAGCGATCTGTTCACATCCAACACCACCTGATTGTATTCACAATGATTGATCAGATCACTCAGCAGAGGCACTTTCTCTGAATCTGTTGGATCAACTTCCAGCAGAAGTGGCCAAATCTCTCTCCGCAAATCATCTAAAAAAAAAACAAATAACGTAAACACAATTCTCACAATTAATAGTATTTACACGTACCATTGACTAATCCGTGCTCCTCGAGAGCCAACCTCTGCCAAGTCTGCAGATTGCTGTTGCCATCTGCTAGGGCCTCCGCGATCCTCTCACGTTTCAGCCTCTCCCCATCACTTTCGATCACTGCCAAATCAACACACAATCAACCTTTGTAACGCACAGATTCGCGATACGAAACTTACCTTCGTCGAACTTGAGTTCGCTCCTCGTATCCTCCTCGCAGTCCGAGATGTTTACGTCCTCGAACACATCGAAACTTTCCACTTCTTCGTCCATCTTCTCGGCCTCCTATAAATATCACGCACTCAAACCGCTTATTTCGCCGCTAAACTGCTAATAATGAAAACATCACCCTCCCTTCGCTCGCAAAAACACAACACTAACATGTAAATAACCTACTGTCAGTTCCAGTCAGTTCTGCCAAATCAATAATCGCGTTGATTGATGGCGCGTCCGGTAGTTCAAAAGTTACAGACGATCACGTCCCGCATTTATTTAGAATACACTCGAATCATGAGTCACAAATTGAAAAGCTATAAATAATTCAATTATCTAATTAAGTACAGGTTATTACTATGTTACATATGGCTCGATTTTTAATAATTTCAAATACGAGCATCACTGGTTGCCTATATCAATAATAATTTAAATTTAAAATTTCATTAATTTACAATTAAAAAATTATTTTCTTATATTTCTTTTATTAATACAAAATAATAATATTTAATAATAAGACAATCGTAATATATTTTGTTGTTACACATAATACAGATAAACGAGATAAGTTACATACTTTTATTAATCTACAATATATATATTATCTAAATTAATTAACGATAAGTATTGTGAGAGAAATGATACATTTTTAACAAAAGTTTCTACTATAATTCCATTGATTTTCGTCTGAAGTTTTGATGTATTGATTTTATTTGTATATTATTGAGATTTCGCGTTAAATTTAACCTAAGGATTCTATATTATATAGAACTTAATACAAAAAAGGATACAAAAAAATATATATTTGTTAGACTGTTATTGATTTTCTTTGGATGGAAATGCTTTATTCGATGGCGACTGTGGCGCAACCGTTGATGCCTTGAATCTCCTTGGAGTTGAAATTGGCGACGATGGAGCGCTGACCGAGTCGCTTCGGTGTGAAGAATTCGGAAAATTCGACGACCTCGCTGGGACCGACGTCCGGCTTCGAGATGGTCTTCGGCTTGCTGAGGCCCGGACCTTCGACGGTGACGGTGCATTCGGTCAGAGGCATATCCTCCAAGGGATTCCTGAAGCTGAACCTGACGCACGACTCCATTCCGACGATGAACGGAGAGTCGTGATCGATGTTGAGTGTCGGTTTCGTCAGTGTGAAGTCGTCCTCCTCGCTCCACGTCTGCCGCGTCTCCTTGACGTTCGCGATCGAGTAGATCTTGATTAAGCTGTGATCGACGAGCTTGTCCAAGTACTCTTCGCGCTTCACGTGCACTCTGAGCACTTCAGTTTCACCGGCTTTGACGGCGAAGACGCCTTGCGCCCTTTTGATCGGTTTGGCCGTGGCTCCGGTGTAATACACGGAGAAGGCGGAGAGGATGGCGCTTATATTCCTCGTCTCTTCAGATTCGTTCCGGATGTTCACCACCAGATCGAAGTTCTCCCCGAAGGGAACCGATTCGATGTCCACCAGATCGAAGAACACGTCTTCATCCTCCTTGTTGGGCATCTCGTAGAACTGCTGCGCCTTCGGCACTCCTTTAACAGCGTTGTAAACGGCCAACCTCTCCGCTTCAGTTCCTTCCGGGTTCTTAAACGAGCGCGTTATGTCCAACAGATCCGAATCACCATCATCATCGTTCACGTCTATCGCTTTAGTTATGATCCTTCTCCCAACGCTGCAATTATTATTAACATTTAAATTACAAAATTTAGAATTTGTGTTATTTACATACTGGTATTGGTTGACGGATGTGCGGCTGAATCCCCAATCGGATTCTTCGTCCTCTTGGAAGTGGCAGACATCCGCGTTCACCTCGGCGAAGACGAAGGGTGTATCGAACATGTACCCGACTTCACCTCTGCGGACGGCCTCCACCGAAGCCGGGCCGCACCTGAAGATGCCGCCGCTTGCTTCCTGCGGGGTCGCATCGATGACCTGCCACCCTCCGTAACCAGCAGGAAGATCAGGTCTCGTCATCCACACGTCGTTCCACACGTGGAAGTTCCAGCAGGAATCGTTCGCGCCGTCCGGACCTTCCTCGATCTTATTTCCAAACAGATCGAAATATCTAAACCGAGAGTAGAATCGTGCATCTGGATATGTGTTTCGATTTTCTTTGCTTACTTATCGACTGTTAAAGAGCAATTCGTGTCGTGAGCCGAAACGTAGTTGGTGGTGGATCTGCAGGGGATGCCGAGAGCTCTGCAAACAGTCACCGTCGCAGCGGAGAAGACCCAGCATTGGCCGTACTTTATTGGTTGACCACCGGTTGCGAGGTACAGATCCAGGATGGCCGTGGATCCGGTCCAAGCGTGCGGAGAAGTTCCGTCCTCGTACTGGCCGTCCCATCTGCCTTCCAGCAAACCGCTATCATCAACAGAATTGATCTGAAATGATGTTAATTATACTTATGTAATAATCGCAAGATGATATAATCCTTACGATGGCTGAAATCGCCCTGGAGACAGCGACAGGAGAAGCGCGATCCGTGACAGGAATACCGGCCTTCTCCAAGAGGAACACGGATGCCGGTAGAACAACATCGTCGAACTGTCCGAAGATCCACTTCTTTCCTTTCGGATTCTTGAACGTTCCGCACCAGATCTTTCCGGTCTCGTTCATGATGTACTCCTTCAACTCGTCCTCGCTCTCCATGAAGACTCCGTCCTCCCTACACCACGGGTTGAACAAGATGTAGATGTCTTCAACGACCTGATGATCCTGTCTCCTGGTTCTATCGCCTTTGATGTTCGTCTGCACGGAGCAGTGCCAGATTCCTACAGGAACGTTCGCCGGGATTCTGAGCGTCAGCATCAGCGTGTTGCCGTACTGCTGGTTCAAGCACATCTCCCATCTGTCCAGATTCTTGTTGTTCAATGTTTTCTTGTTGGGGAAGACTGGAAGGATGGCGCGCGTACCTTGAAGCACGTGCGGTTTCTCGCCTAACGAAGCGACAACAATTAATAATAATTTGAAATCATCTTTTTTGGATCAAACTAACCGAATCCGAAGCTGATTCGCACGACGTCCTGTTCCTCGTCGTAATCTCTGGTGAAGCGGACGGCGAAGACGACGTTGCAACCTCTTCGGAAGACCGGAGTCGCCACGTCCGGATTGTTGACCAACTCGTACTCTTCGGTGCGTGATTCACGCGCATTGTCACGCGGATAGAATTCCGTCATCTCAACTTCCAAAGGCTCCATTTTTTCTTTTTCTTCACCTCTAAAGAAAACATCGAAAAAAAAAAAACTTGTTGAAGAAGATATGGTTACGTATCGCATTATCGCCTGAATGTACACGCAATCAAATTCACAACCACAACGAATAAGATCGTTTTGGTCTCATGATCTCTCATGAAAAATGATCAATTACAAAAAAAAAAAACTTTATAATAGCATTGAATTAATTATACTTTCGGTGACATTGATGATTGTTTGAATGCAAGAAAAATATCTTTAATTACTTTGCTATTATTTTTTTTTTCAATCAGATTCCTAAACGACAAAGAATTTGATAATTAGCTAATTACAAATCGTAATCGATAAATTAGTATGCGCGGAATGTTGAAACAATAGCAAATCTGATAATTAGAATGCAATAATCTTGACATTTCTTGATATTTTTTTTGTTGTTGTCTTATGATGTTTAGATAAAATAACAAATAAATTATGTTGTCAAGGTAACATATTTTTGTACAATTTAAGTATAAGAGTGTCATGAAAGAAGCATCACTGTTTTGTTTTGAAGCCATTTTTGTTCTAATTAGGTTATGTTAATATTCTAATGAGAACCATAAAAAATCATCGCTGAATGTGTGTAGACTGAAAAGTTTATTATTTTGTTTATAATTAATCATTATGTCCCAAATAATTTGACAATTAAAAATTGTTAAAACAAAAGTCAAAAGTCAAAACAAACGCATCATCTATATAATAAGTTTATGGTTTCCTAGCGACGAATTGAAAACAATTGAACTTATCTTCATTAATAGTTTAGCGGTCCGTTGAATAATAAACGACAGTCGCTTGCATGCATTAATATTGAACGTCTCATCTGACTTTCAAATCGTTACTAATTACTATTATGAACGCAGATTAACGATAAGAAAATTATATAGTATTTTCCATTTATTTCCTTTATTACATTGTTAACTAACATTAATCATTTAAACTATCGATTTTATAGAAATTTTTATCAAAATGTGGCAATAATTATTAATAGATTTCAACAGTTGCATATGAAAGTTGAAATACATTTATATTTACTTTTTGTATCCATGGAAACGAAACATGTGGATTGTTTCAATTGCCAACGTTTCTGGATTATTCTATTCTTTTTTTTCAATCGTTTCTCTTATGTTTCCATATGTAGCTTGTTTATATATTTACTATTTAGTCATCAATTGTGTCATACTGTGAGACCGCACGTTTTGAAAAAAAAAGAAAAGGAATCACGAATGTATGAATGGAGCAATTAATTCCGTTTAACGAGAAGATGACAAATGTACTGGGGATTCGTGCGGAGTGTTAAACGTTTATCGTATAATGCTCTTCACGTGTAATTGTTGGAACTGGAATTTGAATAACGAACGTTTAAAAATAGACCATATGATTTATGATTTATTACAGAATGACATGTCATAAGACGTCAAAAGTTTTACTGTTTCTAACGTTAATTGATTAATTGAAAACTTGATTGATTAACTGAAATTTTCAGCATATTTCAAAACAATTGTTTAAAACTGGAACAATGCCAATATGATTTGATCTATTTGTTACTGATTGACAACTGACATTAGACGTCAAATTTTGTTTTTTATTGTTACGTCAAAGGTTCGAACTGATAGTCAGTTTTAACAGTTTTTTACTGATTGACAACTGACAATGTTATGACATTAGACGTCAAAAGTTTTACTGTTTCTAACGTGAATTAATTAACTGAAAACTTGATTAATTAACTGAAATTTTCAGCATATTTTTACCGAAATTTCAAAACAATTGTTTAAAACTGGAATAAGGCGAATATGATTTGATCTATTTGTTACTGATTGACAACTGACATTAGACGTCAAATTTTGTTTTTTTATTGTTACGTCAAAAGTTCGAACTGATAGTCAGTTTTAACAGTTCGTTACTGATTGACAACTGACAATGTAATGACATTAGACGTCAAAAGTTTTACTGTTTCTAACGTGATTTGATTAACTTAAAACTTGATTGATTAACTGAAATTTTCAACATATTTTTACCAAAATTTCAAAACAATTGTTTAAAACTGGAATAATACGAATACGATTTTATCTATTTGTTACTGATTGACAACTGACATTAGACGTCAAATTTTGTTTTTTATTATTACGTCAAAGGTTCGAACTGATTGTCAGTTTTAACAGTTTGTTACTAATTGACAACTGACAATGTAATGACATTAGACGTCAAAAGTTTTACTGTTTCTAACGTAAATTGATTAATTGAAAACTTGATTGTTTAACTGAAATTTTCAGCATATTTTTACCGAAATTTCAAAAGAATTGTTTAAAATTGGAATAATGCGAATATGATTTGATCTATTTGTTACTGATTGACAACTGACATTAGACGTCAATTTTGTTTTTTATTGTTACGTCATAGGTTCGAACTGATAGTCAGTTTTAAAAGAGTATAACTAAAAGTTGCATATAATATCATTATTTGTTAGAAATTAACAAAAAAAAAGAACTTGAATATTTAGATCTGATGCAACGGGAATTTCGCCGGCAGTTGCTAACTAATAAAATCTAATTTCGTGAATTCTCTACACATATTTTCACGTACGCGAGTTCATCTCTCTCTCTATTTTTTTCTTGGCCTTCGTTCAGAATTTACATACAACAATAATTCACGTGTAATTGATGTGCCTTACGCAAAAAGATGAAGAAGCGAAGAAGTGAGTGTGTATAAATAATGTTTATAGAAAAAAAGTAATTGTATTTGTGATTTGATTGCTTGTAGGAAGCAATTTGCTAACGTCAAATAAAGCAGAAGCAATTATCCGTGATTGCTTTGTTTATTCGCAGACTTCTTGATGCATCGACAGTTTTAACTGAAGATTTTAGCGAAAAAGTCTTTGGAATGTAAATTTCTAATAATAAACACATTAAAAAGACGTTATTAATCGATATTCAATTTGATTAAGTAATGAAGTTAGCAAATTTATATCTCAAAAGTTGATTTGTTTACAGCAAATTAAAAAATGTTTATATTTACACTAAATAATCAAGTTATTTATGAAACAAAAAAAAACACATATGAATGATCAAAATTTGAAGGAATTTCTTAATAACTGATTCATTCAGATTTCAACTAATAATTAAATAGTTTATAATAAGTTTGTAATGCAGTTTTAGTCAAATTAATAATTGATTATCAAAATTAAAAATTCATGCAAATATTTTTATAAAAACACATGTTTACATCAGTGAATATATTTTGATACTAAATTAAAGATATTTAGAAACATTTTTATATTAATATAAAAGCTTAATAACAAAAATAAACAAGTTTTAGAATCTAATTTATTTCTCGTAATTAGCTTTTAAAATTCCATTGTTTATTTTTATAAAATCAAGTATTTTAATTTTATCATAATAGTAAAACTATAAAAAATAAGTGGTGTTTATTTAAATTATTTTAAAATCTACACATCTTTCCCAATTTGAACGAATGAAATTTTGAGAAATCGAAAAACTAATTTAACGTTTGATTATATTTCAAGTAAACTATAGCAGTTAGAGTTACAATTAAAAATGCATATTAAAGCTAAAACTATAGAGAATAAACTGTGTTTATTTAACTATTTCCAAAATCTACAAATTTTGTATAATTTTCTTTCTCAATTTGAACGAATGAAATTTTTAGAAATCGAAAAACTAACTTTACGTTTCATTATATTTATAGTAAACTATAATAGTTAGAGTAATAATTCAATATGCATATTAAAGCTAAAACTATAGAGAATAAATGGTGTGTATTTGAATTATTCCAAAATCTACAAATTTTGTATAATTTTCTTTCCCAATTTGAACGAATGAAATTTGCGAGATCTAAAAACTAATTTTACATTTTATTATATTTTTAGTAAACTATAATAGTTAGAGTTATAATTAAAAATGCATAATAAAGATTAATCTATAGAGAATAAATGGTGCGTATCTGAATTATTCCAAAATCTACACGTTTTGTATAATTTTCTATCCCAATTTACACAAATGAAATTTTGCGAAATCGAAAAACTAATTTTACGTTTCATTATATATCTAGTAAACTATAACAGTTAGAGTTATAATTAAAAATGCATATTAAAGCTAAAACTATGCAGAATAAATGATGCTTATTTGAATTATTTCAAAATCTACGATTTTTGTATAATTTTCTATCCCAATTTGAACGAATGAAATTTTGAGAAATGAAAAAACTAATTTTACGTTTCATTATATTAGTAAACTATAACAGTTAGAGTTATAATTAAAAATGCATATTAAAGGTAAAACTATAGAGAATAAATTGTGTTTATTTAACTATTTCCAAAATCTACAAATTTTGTATAATTTTCTTTCTCAATTTGAACGAATGAAATTTTGAGAAATCGAAAAACTAACTTTACGTTTCATTATATTTCTAGTAAACTATAATAGTTAGAGTTATAATTCAATATGCATATTAAAGCTAAAACTATAGAGAAGAAATTGTGTTTATTTAAATTTTTCCAAAATCTACGAATTTTGTATAATTTTATTTCCAATTTGAACGAATGAAATTTTCAGAAATCGAAAAACTAACTTTACGTTTTATTATATTTCTAGTAAACTATAATAGTTAGAGTTATAATTCAATATGCATATTAAAACTAAAATTATAGAGAATAAATGATGCATATTTGAATTATTCAAAAATCTACAAATGTTGTATTTTTTTTCCCAATTTGAACAATAGAAATTTTGCAAAATTGAAAAACTAATTTTACGTTTTATTAAATTTATAGTAAGCTATAACAGTTAGAGTTATAATTATAAATGCATATTAAAGCTAAAACTATAGAAAATAAATGGCTTATTTCTAAATTATTGCAATTTTTACGAATTTTGTATAATTTTGTTTCTATTTTTATATATTTTTTTAATCATTATTCACATTATTAATAAAATTAAAAATTTAAGAATTAGAAATTGTTTGCAAGGATTAAATGTTTGTATTTCATTATCTCAAATTCTTATAAAATTAGTATGATAAAACTTCCACAGATTCATTACACAATATTTACTTACTCGAAAAAACAAACAAAAAATATATATAAATATAAATTTTATTTCTTTCTACAATCTCAAATCGGCAATTAAAATGATAAGTTCAAAATCTAGTTCACTAGTCTCTCAAAACATGACAACAGTCCGGACACGTACTGAACTAAATTAGGTTATAATTAGGGAAACTAATTAGAATTATCTATTGTTTTTTTAATAACAAAATTTTGTTTTTTTGTTTTTCATAAACTTCTTGTTGAATAACAAAAATTATTAACATTCTCAACTTACGTTTTTTTCTTCTCTTTCTTGATTAGTTGCAAACAAGATTTGGATTCACACACAAAATAATAAAATGTTGTTTGTATTAGGCGAGAGTGTTGGTGTTTTTGGGATTGGCACGGTGCGCCGGTCGCGGATTAACTGACGAATAGAGAGACGCCTTGCGTATTTATAAAAGTGAGTTAAGTCGAGTTAAAGAAAGAAGGAAGAAGGAAGGAAAGATCCGAATGCATCCAGCGTGCATTACGACACGATTACCAGGGTTCGTTTTCAGAGAAAGAAAAACGAAAAACGCGAAAAACAATTGAAACACGAAACTGTGGCGCCGCCTTGGATCGTTCGGCGATCCGATTTATTTTCGGGGAAAATACAAAAATACTCTTACGCAATCGCCGATGCGAATTATTATGTGTATTTCGTCTGCTACATTATGTGGGACAAGTGATTCAGACATAAATTTAACTTAGTCATCGATGGATGTTTAAATTTGTGTATTTCTCTTTGCATTTATTTAATATTGATAAGATTTGAGTGTATTTCTTGAAAATTATTTGATTTAAATCTGAGATATCAAAGATAAATGTATAGAGAATGAATATTGTATATTAATATTATTGTATAATGTGTGGTTTTTGTGTAATTTTGTTTCAAAGTTGAATGAATAAAATTTTACGTTTTCTTATATTTCTAGTAAACGATAAAAGTTAGAGTTTGAATTAAAAATGCATATTGAAGCTAAAACTATAGACAATAGATGGTGTGTATCAGAATTATTCCAAAATCTACGAATTTGGTATAATTTTGTTTACAAATTTGAATGAATATGAATGAGAAAAACTAATTTTACGTTTTCTTATATTTTTAATAAAAATTACAGTTTGAATTAAAAATGCATATAAAAGCTAAAACTATAGACAATAAATGATGTGTATCAGAATTATTCCAAAATCTACGAATTTGGTATAATTTTGTTTACAAAATGAATGAATATGAATGTGAAAAAGTAATTTTACGTTTTCTTATATTTCTAGTAAACCGAAATAGTTACACTTATAGTGAAACATGTATATTAAAGCAAAATTATAGAGAATAAATTGTGTGTATCAGAATTATTCTAAAATCTACGAATGTGGTATAATTTTGTTTACAAAGTTGAATGAATTTTAATGAGAAAAAGTAATTTTACGTTTTCTTATATTTCTAGTAAACCGAAATAGTTACACTTATAATGAAACATGCATATTAAAGCTAAAACTATAGAGAATAAATGGTGTGTATCAAAATCATTACAAAATCTACGAATTTGGTATAATTTTGTTTCCAAATTTGAAAGAAAAAGTTATAAAAAAAAACTTTAATTTTTATATTTTTAGTAAACCATTATAGTTACATTTGTAATTAAATACGCAAATTATAGCTAAAACAATATAAAATAAATGATTTATAATTAAGTTTTTGAGCAAGGTTGATTAAATTTCACAAAAAAATGATTTTGTTATGTGAAAAAAAAACAATATTTTACATTTCTTTATGTTTCTGGAAAACTGTAATAGTTATTAATATAATTAAATATAGAGATTGAAGCTAAAACTATAGAGAATAAATGATTTATATGAGAATTATTCTAAAATTTGTGAATTAGATACAATTTCGTTTACAAAATTGAAAAAATATGAATGAGAAAAGTAGTTTTACGTTTTATTATATTTCTAGTAAACCATAACAGTTACACCTATAATTAAACATGCATATTACAGCGAAAACTATAGAGAATAAATGGTGTGTATCAAAATTATTACAAAATCTATGAATCTGGTATAATTGTTTACAAATTTGAACGAATAAAATCGAAAAAGTTTATTTAAAGTTTTCTTATATTTCTACTAAACCATAATAGTTAACGTTGTGATTAAAAACGTAATTTACAGCTAAAACTATATATAATAAATTATTTATAATTATATTAAGTTTTTGAGCAAATTTGATTACATTTCACAAAAAATGATTTTTCTATATTGAAAAAAAAACAATATCTTTACATTTCTTTATATTTCAAGAAAACTAAAAAAGTTATAGATTCAATAAAATATGCACATTGAAGCTAAAACTATAGCGAAAACATAGTCAATATCTGATTTAATGTACAAAGTACAGATTTTGTGTTTTTTTAATATCAAAATTGAAATAATTAAATTTGCAACTTACAGACTTTTCATTATATTTCATAAAATCTCTGATAGTTATAACTATAATAATTTATACATTTTGAAGCTAAGATTATATAGAATAAATAATGTACATTATAATTGTTGTATCAACTGCGAAATTTCAGTAATTTCATTCAAAGGAATAAAAGGATGAAACAAATAGTGTTTCTTAGTATTTCAAGAGTATTGCAATAGTTATAGTTACAATTAAACATTCATATTAAAGCTAAAACTATAGAGAATATAATTCGATAACAATTTTTGTGAATTTCTGAAAGAAAACAACATTTTTAATAAGATAAAAGTCTTGGTAATAAATATAAAGTATCTGCTTAATCATTTTTTTACGTAATACACAATAATCAAAAATTTAAATAACAAACTACTTTTACATATATTTTTAATGATAATTTACATATTAAAATAGAAACTGCTGCGAATAATAGATAAAAAGGTGCATTTGCATGATTGTCACGTTTAAATGAAATTCATGTTTTTCCAGTTTTTCTGTAAAACTGTTAAGAGTATAAATAAATGATGAAGTAGATAAATTATAGCTGAAACAATGTAAATTATTATAATATATGATTGAATAATGGATTTGTTTTGCAAATTTATTTTTAAATTTCATCAGTTTGTTAAAGATTTTAAAACTTCCGAAATGCAATCAAGAAAATTTCACTGTTGAATTTAGTGGATTTAGAAAGAATAATTAAAATTGACTAAAATGTAACGTGATGTACAGTGTTTTCATTATTCAATTAAATTGAATGCAATCTAGTGACCTCGACGCAATCAACGAGTGATTTATACCCATCTGGAAATAATTGAATATACATATATTTTTGTTTTGGACAGAATCAATAAACTATGCGTTTCTGGCGAATTCGAAGTTATTCAAATACATGATTCACATGGATTTAGAGCAAAAAAGAAACGTATTTTGGTTACGTTTGCTAAAATTTTGGGAATTCGTGTGAATTTTGTGCATACGGCACTATCTGAAATCATGACGTTTCTAACCTCTGATCCTTTGAGAAAGAGAGAGACTAATTTAATTAAAAAAAAAGCGAATCTACGAAAATATTGTTATATAACGAGTGCACGTTTCTTTTAAATCAAGTTTTCTTTAATTTCTGACATTTCACAGGAAATAGGTTGTCATTTATGACGTTTCTCAAGAAATAGATTGTCATAACTGACGTTTCCCAATAAGTTGTCATTTTTGACGTTTTCCAGGAAAACAAGTAATTTTTTCAACTATAAAAGAGTCTAAATTGAAAATTGCATTCGAATCTTTGGAATATAACGAGTGGACGTTTCTTTTAAATCATGTTTTCTCTAATTTCTGACATTTCACAAGAAATTGGTTGACATTTCTGACGTTTCTCAAGAAATAAGTTGTCATAACTGACGTTTCCCAATGAGTTGTCATTTTTGACGTTTTCCAGGAAAACAAGTAATTTTTTCAACTATTTTTAGCGTTGTTTTTCTCCCGAACGCAAAGAACACCTGATAAAACAGTCTAAATTGAAAATTGCATTCGAATCTTCGGAATGCACTTGAATTTTGTTTTCGGCGGAGCTGCACAGTGCGTTTATATTTAGTTTTCGACCGTGCGAATTATTGTTCCGTTCGATCGGCGTCGCGACGCCCCGCATCCAGAACATCCCGAAAATAATCGTGACATAACGAACGGAGGTTGTTGTGTCATCGCGGTTCGCAGTCTCCGCGCAATCCTAAAACAGGAAACAATGGATGAACGTTATAAATCATTATTTATCGATTAGTGAGGAATCGTGTAATTTAAGAATTAAGCGAACATGATTGAACGTAGTCTATGTTTTATTCTATTACACGTGAATTCCGTTCCTCAGTAATTTTATTAATTTATGAGCGACCATTTGAAACTCTGCCAGAATTAGTGTAACTGTGCAATTTATCTGTTATTTAATGGGCAATTCACAAGGATACATACTTGGACCTATTAGTCCATTAGATAAATTAAACTTTTGAAAAAGCAGTCTTTAGATTTTTGTGAATTTCTCACGAACCACAATAGTTGGAGTCAATAACAAATATGCATTTTGAAGTTAAATAAATAGAGAATTAATTGAGTAATATGAAGTAATTGAAATATCTATACATTTTTGTGTAATTTGATGTCTAACTTTGAGTTATGAAATTTACGCAGTGTCTTCACATTTTTTTAAATTTCTTATAAACTACAAGGGTTATAGCTAATAACAAATATGCATATTGAAGTTAAATAAATAGAGAATTAATTGAGTAATATGAAGTAATTGAAATATCTATACATTTTTGTGTAATTTGATGTCTAACTTTGAGTTATGAAATTTACGAAGTGTCTTCACATTTTTTTTAATTTCTCATTAACTAGAAGGGTTATAGTCAATAACAAATATGCATATTGAAGTTAAATAAATAGAGAATTAATTGAGTAATATGAAGTAATCGAGATACCTATACATTTTTGTGTAATTTGATGTCAAACTTTGAGTTATGAAATTTACGCAGTGTCTTCACATTTTTTTAAATTTCTCATAAACTAGAAGGGTTATAGGCAACAACAAATAAGCATATTGAAGTTAAATAAATAGAGAATTAATTGAGTAATATGAAATAATTGAAATATCTGTACATGTTTGTGTAATTTGATGTCAAACTTTGAGTTATGAAATTTACGCAGTGTGTTCACATTTTTTTAAATTTCTCATAAACTAGAAGGGTTATCAGTTGTCAATAAGAAATATGCATATTGAATTTAAATAAATAGAGAATTAATTGATTAATATGAAGTAAATGAAATATCTGTACATGTTTGTGTAATTTTTTGTCAAAGTTTGAGTTATGAAATTTACGCAGTGTCTTTACATTTTTTTAAATTTCTCATAAACTAGAAGAGTTATAGTCAATAAGAAATATGCATATTGAAGTTAAATAAATAGAGAATCAACTGAGTTATATGAACTAATTGAAATATCTATACATGTTTGTGTAATTTGATGTCAAACTTTGAGTTATGAAATTTACGCAGTGTCTTCAGATTTTTTTAAATTTCTTATAAACTAGAAGGGTTATAGTGAATAACAAATATGCATATTGAAGCTAAATAAATAGAGAATTTATTGAGTAATATGAAGTAATTGAAATATCTATACATGTTTGTGTAATTTGATGTCAAACTTTGAGTTATGAAATTTACGAAGTGTCTTCACATTTTTTTAAATTTCTCATAAACTAGAAGAGTTATAGTCAATAAGAAATATGCATATTGAAGTTAAATAAATAGAGAATCAACTGAGTTATATGAACTAATTGAAATATCTATACATTTTTGTGTAATTTGATGTCAAACTTTGAGTTTTAAAATTCACTTTTTTTTTTAAATTTCTCACAAACTACAAGGATTATAGTTGTACTAAAACATCTATATTAAAGATAAGTCTATAGTTAATAGAAGACGTAAAAAGTAGAATGTTTTAGTTTATTTTTCTAGCTTTGAGCCGACAAATGATTATCACGAGATTTTTCCATTATAATTAATTTATAAGCAACAGCTCGAGGCTTCGGCTGCAATCCGGAAATCTGTACATATTCGATCATTAATTATACGTTCGTAAAACACAAATGCTTACCTCTGTGATTATTTTACGACCAGTTTATCCTCGTCTTCGAAAAACTACGATTATTAAACCATCAACAGAAGTAGAAAAAAAAATAGACAACAGTTTAAGAACAGCTTAAGAAACATAAATTTTATAACTTTATATTTAAAAGTATAAAGAATCAAGGAAAGCCGTTTATTCATTTGTTTTGTTTATTAGCTTATATAGTTATTAGGCAAGTTTTGACCCAAATATTATTTCTAAATTTGTCCAAAAAAAAATATATACTTAATACTAATTTATAGTAAAGTTTATTAGAAAATCGTATAAATTTGTATGTAAATTTGATAACCTCCAATCAGTTTTTTTTTCTGGATTATATAAAAAAAACACAAGACTTTCACTTTTGTTTTTTGGTACATTTAAATTTCTTAAAGTTTTTAATTTAATTTAAATATTTAATTTTTTTTTCTAAAGCAATTACAATCATTTGTTTTGTCTAATTAATTGCATTAAACGTGAATAAATTGTTGTTGTATAAAAGTTGACAACTTTATTGCCGTGTCCCGACGTAAATCTTACATCCATCGATTAATTGCAATCAAAGAAGCGTGCGAAACAATGGAACGATGAAAGTAATTTGCGTGCGTGACTAAGTATTTTGTAAATAAAAAAAATAATAATAAAGTTGGCGTGGGCATCGTTTGTTTACGTTTCCGGTTGCGGTGGCAACGCTTCGTCCGCGTGTTTACAAACAAAGTAGCGGCTTCATTTTTATTTAAGATTCGCTTAGATTTATTTGTAGATTTTTTTGTACATTAAGTTAATTAGTTTGGAGGTGAAAGATGTTGGTGGTGGACGTTTACGAGAGTAATCTGAGGATTGTGCACAAAGCAACATTCTTCTCGAAAACTGCGTGGTTCGTTTTCGCTGTTTCCTGTCTCTCCCTGATATTCCCATTCGTTTTCTCATACAGAAGTCGAGGTAATTACAAAATTTCAATAATTATTAACAGTTTTTGTAGTTTTATAATGATTTACAAATGGGAATTTAATTCGTAATTGTTAGAAACAAAAGAAAAATTAGTAGAAACGTCATTAATGACGTTTCTCCTAATCGTCATCAATGACATTTCTCCTTATTTGGGTATTTAATAATATTAATTTGGTAATATTGTTTTTAAGTTACATAAAATAATTTTCAAATATTAAATTGTTACTATAACTTTTCATTGGAAAATCGCTCTGGAAATGATTTTAATGTAAAAATGTGATGGTTTTCTTGTAGGTTTTTGGTTGAAGCATGACACGTTCTTCGAGCAACCGGACGTGCGATTCAGAGGGGAATTCCTATTCGTCGGCATAACGAACAACCTGAGCAACTTGATCATCTGCAATAACTTCAATTACGTTCAGGAATTCCAAGCGTTCGATACATGTACAACAGTCAAGGTAAAAAAAAAGCTGAATTACGTTTTATATTTGTTAGAATTTGTCTGCATTTGGACTTTCTCCATTCAACTTAACGCACGAAAGGAATCATGATTCATGGCGTTCAAATTAATTGATTATTTTTAAAAGTGATTCTTTCATCTCTAGAGATGCTCACACTCTAAGCCAGTGGTTTCCAAACTTGAAGTTATTACGCCTCCCTCAAAAGTATGTAATCATTTGGCGCCTCCCCTTTCATAAAAGGAACGCGCATTACAGCAATATGGATAAGAGCACAGGAATATACTTGCTAGATTCCCCAAACATTCAGCTTTCATATGCATCTTTTGGATTCATTCTATCTATTATAGTTTTCGAGAAAATCAATGAAATGTAACAACACTGCTTTTTCGAGCATTTTTAAAACTTTGAACACGAATTACAGCCAGACGGCTAAAACCACAGTAATATATCGATACTTGCTAGATTGCCCAAACATTCAGCTTTCATATGCATCTTTTGGATTCATTCTATGTATTATAGTTTTCGAGTAACAATGAATCGATACTTGCTAGATTCCCCAAACATTTAGAAGATATTTGGAAAATTGCTCACTGCTACTAATATTCGCGCCTCCCCTTAGACTAGTTTACGCCTCCCCAGGGAGGCGCGCCTCACAGTTTGGAAAACGCTGCTCTAAGCTTCAGTTGATACGTCAAGTATTTGACAACTTGCACAAGTTACTTGACTACTTTTGAGTGTATCAACATTTAATATATGAAATTGATGGAGAAATTATTGTTTATTTGCAGGTCAGGGAGATTGACTACAACTTCGATAAGAGAATTGACACTTTCGGCTTCCAAATGAACGTGAATCTTCCAATCGATGAGCAACTGCAGCGTTTCACTTTAATTTTAGGTTTAGATTATAAGCTTCAAGTAAGAAAACTTAAGTTATTATCAATCTCTAAGTAACTCTCTTAATTGTAGTCAACTTGTCCGTTGGTTATGCAATCTGCGATCATAATCCAAGAGGATTCTATAAGAGATTCCCAAGCTTTCGATCTGCGAGCCAATTTACACCTGCACCAGAATTCTCCACTGAAATGCATCAATAAGCGAACGGATTACACCTACAACTTCAATATCTTCGACTCTGATCAAGACTACGAGAATTACCGGATCGAAACTATACTCCGACAATACTTGGAACGGAATGGTGCGAGATTTATTATAAGAATCTATTTGATTAAGTTATTTTTTTTGGTTTACAGTGAGTACGCATCTGGGGGAAGTGTACAAATTCGCAAAGCCCGGAAACGGAGAGGAATTTCGCATCGAGTTGACTGTGCACTATCCGGAAGTCAAAGTCAACTATAAGACGAGTTTCTGGCAGGTCGTGAAATTCGCCTGGATTCAATATTTGGCTGTTTACGTGGTCTTCGCATACATTGCTAAAAGAATCGTGCAATACGTCTTCGACAATAACTTGCTTCTGCATTACAAGCTTTGTCCGTTCAAGAAGAAAGATTGAAAGTAAAACTCAAAGATTTATTAATTTGCTATTGCTATATATAAAAAAAATTTGGTTGATCACATGAGAAGCTCGGTGGGCGCTTGCACCGTCTGATATCTGTTATCCTCTAAAACTATCACATTCCTAGCCATGTCGTCGACCTGCACCAGCAAGTAGCGATACTCGAAATCCCCAGATGCGTTCTAAAACAAATCCAAAGTTTAATACTCAAAGATTCAAAACCACACGAATCGATTACTTCGATCATCTCCAACTGCGCCGTTCCCTTATGGTAAGTGCCTTGCAAATAGAACTGCATCCTCAAGTGCTTCTTTCCATCTTTTCCGATGAACCCTGAGTAGTTCGGGTGTTGCCTCCTACCTCTCCTCGTCTCCTCACCGTAAGCCTTAATGGGATACCCCAATTTATCTTCAATCCTTGTATCTGCTAAGCATTTTTTCACAGCGGCTGTGTAAATATTGTTTGGGCTACGACTCGAGAACAACTCATTGAATACAGCATAGAACAGAGTGCCGGTGACACCCACGCCTAGCAGTATAACACCCAAGTAAGATGCAGTCTTCGTCGTCTCTTTAACCTTCTCTGCCAAAGGTCTTACATCAGTTCCAACCTCTGACCCTGCCGAAGATTTCGTTAAACTACTCTTCGTGCTTTTGTATCGGTTGAATATTGCGTTGAAATTCCTCACTTCCAATGGGTTTCTGCGTCTGAGCGCCGGAAACAGCAGTTTCGAGATCATCTTGTGCACCGGGTAATGTATTATTAGTTACAGGTAAACATAACCTAACTTTATCAGGTGTTAGCAACATTCAGAGCTATAGGCAACTCTATATACATACTTGTATAATTTAAGTATTTTTCAAACTTGTAATTTTAATTATAACGTATTTCATTACAATTATAGTAGTATCATGATGTATGCAAAACTTCTATTATGTAATTTAATGGAAAAATTCTTATTTTTTGATTGATATAAATTTGAAAAAGTTTTCTACTTCAATTTAGTTGGGCGAAAGGTCGATAGAGGGCAAAACTTGTTGATCTTTGTTAATTAATGAAATTCTCGTCGTTCCCACGTTATAAACTATTGTATTGTTCGCTAATGTTGTTGAGGATTGATTTTGATACATGTTGTAGATTTCAGATGTTGTTTTCGTTGTCTTCGGATATCGCTTTAAGGGAAGGAGGATGGAAATCAGCTGTACTTGACATTCGCATCTGACGTGAAATGTCAGTCTGACACTTGAGTGAATAGGCCACCTGCTTGTGGAAGTGGGGCAGCCGAGTGTGCCGAGCAGCAGTGCGGTGCAAAACATGGTACTGGTGTGAGGTGTTTCCCCATATTTTTTTTTCCTTCTCACCACTGCAGAAAGGACTCCTCTCTGATCAGGATGGATTGGGTGATATCGGATGAGCTGTCCCTGACAGTGGGCCACCTTGTTGGCTGGGTGAGCGCAGGTGCCATGATCATCGGTGGTGTCATCCCCTACATACCGCAGTACAAGCAGATCAAACAGACCCAGGATGCTGAAGGTTTCTCGCTGCTCGTTTGTCTTGCCCTCCTCATTGCCAACACACTCAGGATCATGTTTTGGTGAGTATCATCAGCAACCCAATAGGTCACTTCTTTCACACCACAAAGTGGAGCAGATAAAGTGTTGATAAGTACAAGAACTATGAACCCATGAAACTATTTCATAAACAATTCAATAAAAGAATTTCATTTGTTATCTCTCAGTTGAGTTATACAATTATTATGTGGACAGCAGCAGCCTTGATTCAGAATTTCATACTTTATTGAATTATTCCTGTCCAGCAATTATTTGCATCTACTTAAATTTATAACTCAATTATGCGATGACTTCACTTGTTTCACATGCAAAGCCTCTTGATTTATTACATGCAGTATTTCATTTCACATCAAATAAAAAAATTATACAATTTTTATAAACAATTCTCAGCAAAACTTTTAATTTTGTTAAAAAAAAAACATCAAATTACGTGAAACAAGCTAAAAAAAAAATCGAATTGCCTCAATCGAATTACTCGAAATATTTTTGATACGATTGTTTTTTTTTGTTTGTTATCAAATCGTATAATTAATAGTAGGCGACCTTGGATCTAATTGTTTCAAACTTCGCAAGCTTTGATTTTAAAAGCAATCAAATTATTTTATAATTTAACTTAATTAATACAAGTGAAATATTGTTTTTTTTCTATGGATATTTCTTAAATTTATTCATGGTTTTAACTATTTTTTAGTAAATTGTTCCAAGAAAATGAGAAAAATTGCGAATAAAACAGTTGAATTTTATGTTAATTAATAGTAGGCGACCTTGGATCTAATTGTTTCAAACTTCGCAAGCTTTGATTTTAAAAGCAATAAATTATTTTATAATTTAACTTAATTAATACAAGTGAAATATTGTTTTTTTTCTATGGATATTTCTTAAATTTATTCATGGTTTTAACTATTTTTTAGTAAATTGTTCCAAGAAAATGAGAAAAATTGCGAATAAAACAGTTGAATTTTATGTTAATTAATTGTAGGCGACCTTGGATCTAATTGTTTCAAACTTCGCAAGCTTTGATTTTAAAAGCAATGAAATTATTTTATAATTTAACTTAATTAATACAAGTGAAATATTGTTTTTTTTCTATGGATATTTCTTAAATTTATTCATGGTTTTAACTATTTTTTAGTAAATTGTTCCAAGAAAATGAGAAAAATTGCGAATAAAACTGTTGAATTTTCTGTTTTCAGGTTCGGTAAACATTTTGAATACCCTTTGCTGATCCAAAGCTTCATCATGAACATAACAATGTTCACTATGATCCATCTGTGTGTCCGTGTCCGAAATAAGAATCAAATCATGCAGGCCCGTCAGCGCATCTTCACAGGTAAAGAAACACATTTAAACTATTTTTAAATCTTTGTTTTATTTACGTTTTCCATCTTATTTTATTGTTTCTGTTTGTTGTTATCTTTTTGTTGTTGTTGTTGTTGTTTTTCTGTTGTGACTTTCTTCTTTTTGGCAGCGAGACCGAGCGAAGTGGTCAGGTTGCTTCAGGCTAAGCCTCCGTGCTGCGTGCACAGTATCTACGGTAAACAAGAACAAACGAGTTAATCTTCGCTTTTGCAACTGTTTATTTATTTAAAAAAAAATAAATTTCAATAGTCTTTTCACGCAATTCGTTCCATGGGTTTAATCATATCTTTTTACATTCATCTATCAATTGTTTCATTATATATGATTACACAAGGGATGTTTCAAAAGTTGTAGTCTTGGCAACGTCATGAATTGTTGCAATTGTTGCAAAAATGAGAATGACATCAGCCGCCTTGACTTTACTATTGTGATTTACTGAAATTACAATATTCAATGAGAGATTGTCGCAATTAGCGTTAACGCAATTTACACTTATCTGTCGGATAAATGAGGCACGCGTTTCAACTACTCACTGTACTCGCTCACTGTTTCCTTTGTTTTTTTTTGTAAATTATTATTTGGGAGTCGTTAGATTACGTGGTTTATGCATGCTTGCTTGAAATTATCACTAGATTACGTCTGCTTGCTTTAAACTTCACCAGATAACGAGCGAAATCAAATAAACCAAGGACTATCATGAATCACCCTATATATATATATACACATACATATTTATGAATATTGATAATGATAGTAGTGAGAGAGATACAGTGTAAAAATCGAACATTTACTTATTTTCTACGATTCGCATGATCTAATAACTACTTACTAACGTTTCGTTATGTTCCCTCGAACCTGGGATCGTCGGCACGCCAGACACACGTGACTTTTGTTTCTCTCATAGCTTACATGATTTTTAACAGTCCATTTCATAATGCATGTTTTCCTTTCTTTTCGATTATTTATAGAGTACTTTCATAATCGAATAAGTAGATTTATTTTTCTGTATATTCGATTACAGTATTACGTAAGATTATAGTCGCTGAAAACTGAGAATGTTTTCAAATTTTCTAAAATAGTTAATTGATTACATTATGAAAAGTTCTGTTATTTGTTTTTAATTGCTTTCTCAATCACGTAACAAAACGACGAGTGTAAATGCAATTCAATTGTTTCGTTTCATGAGTTTCAAAAGTAAATACGACGCATTTTTGTCGTTGTTGTTGAACTGCATTTACTTTTATTCTATTTGGGGAAAAAATTCAGCTGAAGCCAAAATGAAACCGAAATAATTTCATTTCTTAAACCTTTCAGCAATTTTTCTTTTCGTTTTCATTGCGAATGACTCATTATTAGATTTATCTAAACTCTAATTATTATTAACTCCGCATGTTGGGATTACTTTTTTTTTCATGATAGTTTCTGATGGTTTTGTTAATTTGTTTTTTGCTTCTTTTTCTTTAGATTTCGACTCGAAGTTCTTCTGGAATTGGACAGATTTCCAGTCGTACATGGACTGCATGCTCGTCTTCACGATCGTCTCGTCCTTCCTCATGTACCTCCTCATGGATTACGTGATCTTCGTGGAGACGGTCGGATTCCTCGCGGTGTTCACCGAGGCGATGCTCGGCGCTCCGCAGCTGGTGAAGAACTTCAAGAATAAGTCGACGGAGGGCATGAGGTTTGTTCTAAATCATAATCGACGTTCTGTCAACTCGAATCAAAGAAAAAACGTTATAAGAGTGCTTTTTCATTCATTTCTTTATCAAAGCACACTTATATGAGCTTGTTTTAATCCTTTGCGGACGAGCGGCGGGTATATCCACTATATCTTTTACACAGCAGACTTTGATTATGAAAAAATAGACGCAAAATAATATTGAATAGCAGTTTCGCAGAAAACAATTGAAAATGGGACATTTAACGTTGATTTTGTATAGTTTTTTTTTAGCGTTTAATTGTTTAATTAGAAATTCAAAAGATCACTTTCTTTGCTGCATATCTATTCGTTGTTTTTACTATCATTCCGAAAAGTCATTATTCAATGGGAGGGCATAAAGAAGTGTTTAATATGATTTGCATTAAAACTTTAGTTTAGACTTCTGGGACACGTCATTAAATGTCAAAGGGTTAAAAATCTTTGTCCGCAAAGGGTTAATTCTTGATTTCTATTGAAAATAGAATATAATTGAAAACAGCCAGAAGATGGCGACATGATAATACGTTTGAGAAACGCCGATTTAAAGTTTTCGAAGCACACTTATATAAGCATGTTTTAATCCTTTGCGGACGAACGGCGGGTATATCCACTAAATCTTTTACACAGCAAATTTCGCTTGTGACTTATCATTCCGAAAAGTCATTATTCAATACTTGTAATAGGGCATAAAGAAGTGTTTAATATGATTTGCATTAAAACTTTACTGGTTATTATTTTTATTCTTAATTCATTGTAAAAATCTTTGTCCGCAAAGGGTTAATTCTTGATTTGTATTGAAAATAGAATATAATTGAAAAAACAGCCAGAAGATGGCGACATGATAATACGTTTGAGAAACGCCGATTTAAAGTTTTCGAAGCACACTTATATGAGCATGTTTTAATCCTTTGCGGACGAGCGGCGGGTATATCCACTATATCTTTTACACAGCATACTTCGCTTATGACTTATCATTCCGAAAAGTCAATACTTTAATACTTGTAAGAGGGCATACAGAAGTGTTTAATATGATTTGCATTAAAACTTTACTGGTTATTATTTTCATTCTTAATTCATTGTAAAAATCTTTGTCCGCAAAGGGTCAATTCTTGATTTCTATTGAAAATAATATAATTGAAAAAACAGCCAGAAGATGGCGACATGATAATACGTTTGAGAAACGCCGATTTAAAGTTTGAATGGAAGCGATGAGACGTTTAGACAGTGGGTGCAGAGCGTGTTAGATTGGATCGTGTGATTAGCTGTTGAGGTTTTACTGCGGTCGGGCCCATCGTTCTATTTCGGTGCGATCTAATCAAAAATCGATGTGGATTCCCCCCTTTGGGGACGACCTTTGCCTTCGGCTCCGCCAAAGGGCGCGACATTCATTTGCTATTATAGATATGTCAGAGGTGTGTATCCGGATATTTTTAGCATAACCATGGTCGCCCTCTGGACGTTCGGGGACATCTTCAAGACGGCCTACTTCTTCATCCGGGAGGCGCCCCTGCAGTTCTGGATATGCGGCTGCCTGCAGGTCTCCATCGACTTGCTCATCCTGCTGCAGGTGTACATCTACAGGTGCAACGAGGAGCCGAAGCGGAGCCGATCCCGTCGAGGGGATTGAGTAGTTATCATTTGGACACACGACACTGAGGAGGGCAAGACACAACAGCAGCAGCAGCAACAACAAAAACGAGACGAGAACGATGAAGAGGAAGACGATGAGGAGGAGCGCGATGATGATGAGGAAGAGATGATGGAGCAGGGGATGAACGAGGAGGAGGAGCAGGAGGATGACGAGGGTAATATATTGACTTGCGTAAAGTCGGTTAAAGATGATGATGATGGGGGTTTGGAAAACACTGATCCGGAGGACTCTCAGATCAACGGAACGGCCGTGATCTGCAGGAATTTCGAGGTGGACGTCGAGATCCACGCGGACGGCGACGGCGTCGATCCGCCGCTCCGCCGTCCCCCGCGAATTCCTAATAGTAATAATAATAATAATATTCATAGTAATAATAATAATCCTAGGTACAAAAAGCCTCCAAGAAATGTTAGTATGCTTATACACAGGCATACCTTATGACGCATCGTACGTTTCCATTTTCGCGGACGGTAATTTCTGTGATCCCACCAAAGATCATTAAAGACATTTTTTTTTTAAATAATCGAAACGCGCGCGGCAATCTACCACCAACTATCATACAAACATTTTCCTCCCCAAAAAAAAACAAGTAAATAACAAGTATTAGTAAACTAAAGCATCACCAATTAAAACCCTAATCCCTAGTAATAATTAGGCTTAATGTGACATTTCAATTAATTAGTTAAAATGCTCATAGTAGATGGCGCTAACAACAATAATAGCGTTTAAGATTCGCGCGTTGAAAATGAATTGATTCGTTGAAAAGGGAATGCCTTTACACGAAAATATAAAGGTTACAGTGAGCGGGACACTGGGACAGCGTGACAGCTGTCACCGGTGATTGATTGTGTGCTTAGTTGGTGGTTTTGTTCCGAGCAACGGGCGTCGCGATTAAAGTGTATAAAATAAACAAAATAATAATTATTATATTATTAAATATATGTATAAATTTAAGACGAGTGGAAAAACGTGGCATGCATCAACACAAACACATATATTCGAAAACCCTAGTCTCTACATAAAATATTTTTATATGTATTTTTTAATTTATTTAAGGAAAAGAAACAAACAAATCCCCCTGAAAAAAAAAGAAAAGAAATTTAAAGAGTATTTAGAGGAGAAATCATCGTAAAAAAGAGGTTAGCAAATTGAAGAATTGAAGAGTAATCGAAATAATAAATATTATATATGAATTTGTATATGTAAATTATATCATGTATTAGTCAATTACGAGATGGATAAAAAAAAATTAATTAATTAATTAACGAGAATCAATCATTACTTCTTCGTTTTGGGTATATTAGCACAAATCTAGTTGCCGTAATGCGTGATTAGAGTTTAGGCAATCGCTGTGCGAGGAGAGCGAAACCGGTGCGCGTTTGGTTGCCGGCACCGATGAGAACCCGGAAGTTGTTCGGGTTCGTTAAACAAAAATTAAGTTACCTCGATTAGTTAATAAATAATAATAATAATAACAATAACGAAATACAAAAAGGAAGGAGAAAAGTACATTATTAATTAATGAATTAATCTGGATTTTATACGGCGAATTCTCTTGATCTTCCATTTTACCTAACTGTTTTCATTATGTTCATTATTTTTCAACATTCCACATTGGATTCAATTTAAGTTTTATTTTTGTTATCGTGATCAATTGTCTTTTAGAACTTATAACGTTGGCAATATGAGCTTACAACTCATTGTATTGTTGCTTTTTTTTTCTAGTACGTTTTTTGTTTTAAATACTGCAGCGCTCCGAGATTCCAATATCCTAGACATAATTAATCTCCGTTGGTAACGGTTTCCATAGTAATTAACGCATGCATTGAGTGTAAATAACTTAGTCGCATCTGTTAAGGGGAAGATAACTTGATTACACCAGATTATTAATTAAGAATGAAACGTAAATCTGTGTACGTGTGAAACGTTTAATTAATTATTTAATTAAGAATTACGTTTATAGAAGAAACCTAAGCAATAAGCTTCCATAGAGACAAGACGTTGTTTGTAATTAGTTTATATACGATGATTCCTAATTGTAATAGCATGCCAAAATTATGTTATTTTTCTTTCTTCTCCCTCAATTATTATTAATAATTCTCAATCAACGTTTGCCATATTAGTTTTAAATTTGGAAATTAATAAATTTTATTTAATTTTTATATTGTATAATTATTTTCTGCTACTTCTCAATGTTCTCTCTTTACATATCTTTGTTGTCATTCTCTGTTTTTTTTTCAAATTATTATTATTTCGAGCTGGAGGTTTGCAGGGTAGAAACAAAAGAATTTGAAAATGAACGAAACAAAAGAGAGAAGCGACGAGAAAATGTTTCATGCTCGGTGATCGATAAACCCTGTATTCGAGTTGACAGCGAAACGAGAAACATTTCTGTGAATATGTAAATACGTGTATAAAAGTAAAAGGGAATACGATTAGCGATGAATATGCGAAAGAAATAAAGAAATCTAATTGAAAATAAACACAAATATTCTCATTTTTCCTTTCCATATAATCCTTACCATACAAATCCATACAAAATATATTATATAACAGTGTTTTTTTTAAATAATTTAATCATAATCGAATCAAATTGAGTGACAGTAATAATAAAACAAAAACAGTTACATAAAAATTGCTTTCGGTTACCATGGAACGTATCCATGGATTTCAGTTGCTTTAGCAACTTGTTACATGGATTTCATTTGCCAAAAATTTTTCGTCCACTCAAGTCCGTTCCACTTGTGTCGTGCTAATTTGATATCACCTTAATTAACAGGTCTCATTCAACAGGTAAAGAAAAGGATGAATCAACATGTTCGTGAAATCTACTATTTTTACAATTCACACTAAATATTGCTTATGAAATTATTATATTTAACGATTCTTAAAGAATCCTTCTTCATGGAAATCTATTCTACTCATGTAATTAATCAATTAACAAATTTAAATTATTTTCAAAATTTTAATGTGTATGTTTGGTTGCCTATTATGTTTGTGCCACAATTTCTTTTATTGAATTAACTATGAGATTAATTGCAATTAAAGAGTATACTTTTGTTAGGAAAGTTCAATTTTAACTGAGTATCAACTACAAAGTTCTTGAATGAATTGAATGTTATAACTTTGACAATGTTAACATAATCACCAATTCCAATACGATTCATAAAATACATTGTTTAACTTTTTGTATTGAAAGACGTTTTATCAATCAATTGTAAAAGAAAAGTTTTAATAACGTCTTATTTTATTTATATATTTTTTCTAAAGTTTAGAAAATAAGTATTTTTATTTCATACTGAATATTGTATATATTTATTTAAGGTTTCCATGGAACAAAATAACAAAATCGACATTTTGTTTTTACTTTTTAAATCAATTAATTAATGTTTCCATAGATACCAAACAGAAAATAAAAACAAAATGAGAATATCCATAATTTTGTTTTCCTTTTCAACTGTTTTATTCGGATTTCAATTCCTTTTTTCTGTTTTGATGTTGCTGCTTTTGAAGAAGTCGATGAAACCGGAACTGAGATTTACCTGTGACGATAAATCCCTCTCGACGAAACGGTCGTATCTAATTATGGAAAAGGTCAGAGGGTCTCGCCTCGTCCCCATGCATATTCATCCGATGGCGCAACTATATTTAGATCGTCGTTCCGATTTTGCTGCGAAATATAATTAAGTCGAAACCATTGTTTCATAGCTCTGTATGGCAATGATTCATATATATATATATAAACGTCGCATAGGAAGATCGGATTCTAATGCGAAAACTGGAGCAAACGGGACGGAGAAAGCCGTACAAGTGAATGATGATAGGGTTCATCCCTAATTATCCCATTACTAAATCTATATTGAATAAACATATTAAATTCAATTATTTAATTGTCAGATTTCCATGACAACCAATTCAAGTGTTTATTTATTTAGAATTAGCAATAAGAAGGAACTGCATACAATTGAATAGTGTACATTTTTTTATGCAAATCCACACTATTCGTGACTTCAGTAATAAATGTTTATCAGCTGAACTAATTATGTACACAAGACAACACATATTTTTGTATGATAAACGTTTGCATTTGGTGCATCTGATTGCAAATTAATGTACAATGTCACGCACACTGTAGATCAGCGTTTCTCAACATTTTTGTCGCGTGTCCCAACATATTTGTTTATAGCATAGGGTGACAGCTGTCATTACACATGTTCTATTCCCTTTGACACATGATGACAGCTGTCATTTTGCGTTCCAATATTGGGTTACGGCTAAAATGTTAAGATGCAGATGGAGCATTATATAATTGTGTTAGGTAAAAATGGATTAAGATTAAATTAAATATTGTTTATTAAATATCTGAAATTATTTTGTAATTGTAATGTATCGTGTCCAAACATATTTGTTTATAGAATAAGGTGACAGCTGTCATTATCCAAGTTCTACTCCCTTTGACACAAGATGACAGCTGTCATTTTGCGTTCCAATATTGGGTTACGACTAAAATGTTGAGATGCAGATGGAGCATTATATAATTGCGGTAGTTAAAAATGGATTAAGATGAAATTTATTGTAAAATAAAGATTCTAGTTCAAAATCTTAAGAAATAAATTAGTTGTAAGAAAAATGTAATTTATTTATTGTCGTTTACAATTACCATGACAACCAGTATAATAAACAATTGTTACATACAGTAATATTTGTATGATATTGTAATTATCAATAATTTTTATATTCGATAAATTGAAATATTCTTTATTAAATATTTGAAATTATTTTGTAATTCTATTGTGTCGTGTCCCAACATTTTTGTTTATAGCATAAGGTGACAGCTGTCATTGTCCAAGTTCTATTCCCTTTGACACAAGATGACAGCTGTCATGACCAAAATGTTGAGATGCAGATGGTGCATTATATAATTGTGTTAGTTAAAAATGGATTAAGATTAAATGAAATATTGTTTATTAAATATCTGAAATTATTTTTTTTTAATAAAATATCATATTTTTGACATGACATGACATGAAACGTCATTTTATTTATTGTTAATTTGTTAAAAAAATGTCATCTTTTTGTCACCCTGACAACCAATATAATTGACTAAAACTTCTCAATGTTCACTATCAAATAGAAGTGTTTTTGCTCCAATTCGATAGTTTCCATTTAATAATCAGCCGAAAGAAAGTACACTTTATTTTTAGAACGAAATAAATATGAATCGTTGCAAAGTGTTGTGATAATGGTGGAAATGCGATTTACGATAGAATGCTTATGGAGAAATGTTGTTTTCGGTGGAGCACGTTTCGGTGATGGGGGCGCCGGTGCTGCCGTCGCGATGGGCGCAATCGTGAGAAGCGGGGGGCGGCTGTTGTGTAAAAGGCGCACCGGAATCGATCGTTTTCAGTACGTCAGCGCGATCCAAGAGTGCAACAACAAACATCGACGCATCGGAGGGTCACGGTTTTTATGTTGCCGTTGTTGTTATCGACTGGAGTTTATCGAATGGAATAATAAACGAGTAAGTAAAGCAACCAACTTTAACTTTAACCTCGGTCATTAGCCTAAAACAGAACAATAAACAAA